AAAGAAATCTGTAAATTCTCTGAACCGGAAAATTTTTACTTAAACCTGCTTTATGTTCCCGAAAAAATTTTTGAACTTTTATTTCAATTCATCGTAATGTATCTTTGATAGCTGGAAGGAGTATAATAATTTAAAGGAAAATATAATTTTATTACAAACGATTTCATCAGACAAGTAATGAAGCTTGATTCATCTATACAGACGAGACAAACTAGCACTTCTTTTAAAATTATGCTCATATCAAATTTATCATTTTTTTATGAAAAAATGTCCTAATGATTTCTTCAATCATTTTTCGCATTGTCTATGAAGTTACAGTAAAATTCTTAACGATACATGAATCAACATTTAAAAATAAAATTGGAACGTCCCATATAAAGTTGCCAAAATTGGATTTTTGGCAATGAAAAAGCCATCAACACCGATTCCCTTTTCCATTCCAACAAATGGCAGCGCTATTAATTTCGTATTTTTTTTTTTTTTTTTTTTTTTTTTTTTTTTTTTGATATTAAACCTATAAATTACTCACTATTACGGGGTTACGAGGTGTCTTAAACTGCGTTAATTTTTTTTTCTTTGATATTAGGATTTCTTTTATAGATTGTTATTTATTCATTCCAGTGGATCCGCTTTACTGCATGGTTTATGTAAAATACACTAACCAGGAATAATCCCCAAAATACTTACACACAATCACTTTTTATGTTAAAACCACAAGAGGAGACCGGTTATAAGAGTCCTGATTGATGAGACCATTCCAAGTTTTTTCTTTGTTTAGCGTCCATCCTAAATTCGAAAACCTATCTTCCTATCCGAGAAAACACACAAACCAAAAGGGGAAAAACGCAGCATTTTCAGAACAGTTCTAGAATTTCTTATTATCATTTGAGACCTCTCCTCGCCATGAAAGTTAGTTAAACTACTATAGTTTATTGAAATGAAAAAAATATTTCACCACTTAAAAAAGAGAGATGTCAATCCCAAAAGAGTTAAATGCATTTCAGAGATTCGTATTTGTTGATTTTAATTTGAGTTAACTTTGTGTTTGCGTTTCAAAGCTTTGTATTTATCAATTTTAATTTGTGTTTGTTTTTAATTTCATAACCTCAAAACCAATTCGTCCGCGTACACTGCACATAGAAAAAAAAACTTGGAATGGCCTTATCATAACTTGCGTTACAGACCTTGAAAATTTTGCTTCAGATAAAAACCGTGAATCTCCGAAGGCTTAAAAAAAGGGTGTGCGATTTGTTTAGATCCATTTTTCGAAGAACAAAATATTTTATATAGCCAATGCTAATAATTTAATTTTAGAGACGAACACAGTACTTTGCATGTACATACTCATTATTTGATAAACAAAATCGAAAATTATATGCCTAAATCTGCGTAGTGAATTCGACAGAAATGCACACGAATTCTCGGGAAGGGATTCAGAAGCCTGTAGTACACTCTAACGGGCATAATTCCCTAAAACTAAAAGTTATAAAAATAAGAATATAATATTATGTGTATGATTACATATAGAGTTTAACCACGTCAGCTATGAAAATATGCGCATGTCGTCTTCAAAGCAATGCAGCATGAAACGGCAGACACTTGCATTGATATCGATCAGTAAAAGATCGACCAACGGTCACAGTCGAGTGGGGAGCCAAAAAAAATTGGAAAGGGATGTATTTAGTTTTAAATCAAATTCTTGATATAATTTTTTATTGGTACTCATTACAGTACATGTATAACTTGATTATCAGTAACCCCCCTCACCCCACTTCTATTTACATAGAGACAAAATACAAATAATCGAAATGCAGAATAACAGAACACTCACATAGAAGAATCAAAATTCACCTTCACGTCCCTTTTTATAAGCTACATAGAGATTTTATTTCTAGTTCAGTTATCAAATTATACGAAATCTGATGTTATTTTGTTACTTGTGGGAACAATACGCATAACACGTCACATTGCTTCTTTATAGAGTTATCCTTGCCATTCCCGGATTATAACACTAGCTTGATAATGTTTCTTTTTCATGTAAGTGTCTCATAAAAAAAATCTTAAAAAATATACCTAACAAACTGCTGACATGAATTTCGAGACGATGCATCTAGTCATTTACTAAGAACTGCATTAAAATAGATAAAGATTTTCTTTAGAACTCCTCCCTATGTTTACATGTTACACAGCCGTAGGTAAGATATTTGATATATTTCGGTGACAATGATAATTTTATCACTTCCTTTGGGTACATTAATTCTCTGGGGCATTTCCTTCGCAATTCTGTGCATTTGTCCTTGTAGTAACGAGAAAATACTTTTAATTTGGGGTTTTTTTCTGGAACGGATTGTCATCATAGACGGACGTTGAATCTTTAAAATTTAGCGATAATGTGCACCGTTTTCACAGAGGCGATGTCGGACAGGACGCTCCTCCAGCCCCGATGAACATCCACTGGAATACTATACATATTTCCTATGAAATATATTGCTATCATTTCATGGATAATCTGGATAAAATTCTTTTAAAAATACTCACTTCAAGATTAACAATAGTGTACATGTAGTTAATATGTACATTCGTTTTTTATATAGATAAATATCTACAGAATAATCTTTTTTTTTCTTTTTTTTTCATTTCAAGACTTGGAATGCCTTAAAAATGTATTAGGAAAACAATTTCTGAAGAAAGAATTAACGAGTTAAACCATCGATTATGGAGGTGTCTTGTGATGTCCACAAGTAATGCAAGATCGTGTTTGTATGTCTTACAGAACTGGGAACAGATATCTTTATTTATAGACAATAAAATAGGTTGATTGTATCATGTTTCACTTAAATTTTCGTAGAAAATGCCGAAAGCGTACACCAATGTATACGTTTTTAAGCCTTATAAACTTGGTCAACATAATTATCTAAAATTCCTTGTAAATTATAAATTAAACCCGATTTTACTTGAAAACACTGATGTCAATATTCCGATCAGCATGATAAATGTATATATAAAATAAGTGTAAATACATGTAAGAACTTTTCCATTCCAAGTTGCTGACCTTCAATATGTAAATGTGGGTCGGCAGTGGAAGATTTAGAAGTATTTAGTCATATATAAAACACTTCCTGGTTATGCGATAAAACACTAGAATCCTTTTTGATATAATTAATCTTGTCAAATAAAAACTGCAACAATACAGTGACAAGGATAAAAAGTTTTGAAAAGAAATGTTCAAATGGTGACTGCTATAGCCAAGCTTCCCATCTACCTCCCCCTTTCCCCGCCCCAATCATTAGCTATTGTCTTTTGAAATTCATGAATCCCAGACATATATAAAAACATACCTAAGAAAGCTGATGATTTTCAATAAAAATGATAAAAATAATCTTTTCTTGAAGTCAAATAAAGTCAATGTCCACTATGAAGGAGACGCGCGTTTTAATTGGAGGTACATGTAGGGTTAAATGTAAATTGATTGTTTGAACCATCCCAAATTATGTCGTTAAATTATTTTTTCACGCTGTAAATATTGATTGAATATTTATCATAGTTGCAAAGACTGACGAATTTGTTTCAAGTACATATTTTCAACATGATAGCTCTTTGTGACGTCATTTTTTTTCAGTGCATTGCGTCACTAATTTACATATAATGTCCCATAGTAAATTTCACTGAGAAAGGTTCATATGGTTTTCATTTGCATAAATAATTGTATTGAATTATTTTTTTTCAAATGCAGAATTGAATTTAAAAGACAATAAGAAATAATTAAGCCTTCAGATATAGAATTAAACAATTAATTTCTTTAAAAATATAGATTTTTTTGTGGAGAAAAGGTGACGTCTATCCAAAAATTCAGCACTTTTTACTTCAATTTTTGTAAAAACGGATGTGGCCGCACTTTTGTAAGGTTGTTTTTTCTCTTTAATATTAAAAATGGTAGTGTATTTGTTCTTTCTGCAAAGTTTCGCATACATACTCGGATGCGGCCATATCGAAATATAGACTTGAAGAGGAGGAAAACGTCCAAAATAGGGGAATTCCGGAATATTAGGCCGGTTTTGAACGTTATATAAATGAAAGGGCACGTGAGTTGAGAAAAATTTATTACTATTTCACAAACAGGGAAACCTTAACAGTTAATTGATACAATTGATATAATGTAATCGTGCGTTTAATTTTTGCCGATTTTACAGGGCCGTAAATCGGTCTTAACGTACCCAGCTCTTTAAAGAAAAAAAGGCTTCAAATTTGGATCTTTACTCGGCACTCAGGGCCATTGAGTAGTGAGGGATCTTTATCGTGCCAACGCCTGCCGTGACACGAGGCCTTGATTTTTAAGGTCTCATCCGAAGGACCCACAACTTGCACTTCAAAATACCGAGCGCTTGTCCGACTAATAGGCGAATCATAAAAAGGCATGTTTTTTACAAACATTTCTGCGATTATCGTTTAACAAAGTCTGGATATATTATAGCATTATGCAATCTAAGATTATACATAAAGTACAAATATTTGCATATTTTAATAATTTTAATTTAACCTTAAGTGTGTATTTCTTAATTGTTAATTGATTTAAATTAAATATGGGCGTCATTTTTAAAAATATTAATTGAAACCAGGTTAAAACATCAGAGCATTGAATAGAAATTTTCAACCAATTCTGGCAAAAGTTGTACCGACTTATATGCGGGTTATTGGCTAATCCCTTCAAAATACAACCGACTTATAGGCGGATCGACCTATAAGCGAGTATATACGGTAGTCCGGTGCGAGTTGTTAATCATTGTATGAGATATGTTATATTAATTCAAAGACGTAGCAAAATCATATGGGGATGAGCAGGATATAGTTGGGACAGAATTTTTTTTTTGATACTTAAGCAAAAATACATTTGACGAAAATCTGATTATATGTGTGTACGGGAAATTATGTGTGTACAGGAAATTATGTCTTTCTCTGAACCATCTGATCATTTTTGCTTATTTTGTTATATTTTGTCATAGGAGGCGAATGGGATTACGTGATATTTAGCTTAGTAAGATCCCTGCCACATTATAGAATTGAGCCTAATCCTACAAAAGGTTGGTGCATTGAAAACCTTGGATTCATCACGGATGTCCATCAAATTAACGTTGCTCTTACCAGAGCTAAGAAAGGGCTGATTATCATAGGTAAGGCCAGTTAATAGTGCTAAATAGAAGTATCAATATTCTAAAAAGGTATATATTTTGAATTTTAACTTTGGTTTTAATAGGAAACAAGGAATTGATGAAATGTAGCAAAGAATTAAAGTCCTTACTTGACGATTTCGGAAGTCACGGTTGTGTAGAAGATGCCGAAAAATTTCCACCCAGTGGTAGAAGTAAAAGACGAAGCAGCTCTAGTCATAAACATGCAGAAAAGTTAGAATTTTGAATTCGTCTTTACCTCTTCTTAATAACCTTATTTACCTCCATATGGCGGGTATTCGTGTTTAAGAGAACATATGTTGAAAAGTGGCGATAGTGAAACAGTTGGTGTCCTTCAAGTGTCTGTGATGTTTATAATAATCTTCCTTGAGTTATAAATAACAATTGTTATCTAATAAGAATATCTGTGATATATATTTAATAGTATGTTTTATGTAGAATATGTGACATTTGCCTTCAGTGGATAATTATGTGACAGACAGGACCCAAGGGTCTTTGATTCGCAATACTTGTAAACGTATTAAAACTTTAGGTTACAGACATTGGACAACATGAATTATATTCTCGTTATTTACCTTTAAAATTGTTGTCATGTTAATTAAGAATTTTAATTTTTTTATACAAATTATATTTAAATTTATAAATAAATGTTAAAATATAGATTGTAGCAAATAGAAATATGATAATACATGATATGTAATATAAAATTGTACATGTAATATTCCTGAACTGTAGCTGGTATTTTTCAAAAAGGTCTTCTGACAAGGTCACAATGTCAGTATCCCTTGTATTTCATAAAACCTTTCATTCAAGCAATGTATGAGCAAAATGTTTCTCTGAACAGTTCCCAAGATATAGACCGACAGACGAACAGATAGACGGCGGACAAAGTTGTAAATGTCACTATGCTTTGGAGGCGACGCAAAAATTACACATGCAGTTATCTACAGTTCGCAAAAGAAAAGAAAAGAAAATGTTTATTGTTACACATATATTATCAAGTATAATTAGGGTTCTAATATAAACTATGCTTCTCTCTCGCTCTCGACGCTCTGGCGAATATGCGGGATATTCAACATTTGCCAATAAAAGATCAAGAGAACGAAATTAGTAATTCATGAAAAAACTTATCAAAGCATACATGCATTTCTTTAGAGCATTCTTTTCAGCATTTTCCTGTTGAAAATTGATAAGGTTTTAATTTAGGGTTTTTGCAAGCTAGAATTCATCGGTAAAAGACTTACCTTTTCGAAAACATGTAACCAAGATAGACTACATGGCAGGAGGAAGTAAAATTGTATTTCTGTGTTCACACGCTCTGTGTTTTCTAATGCAAACATCTACATTAAATCGATGAACATAAAATGTGAAGTGTAAAAATCAAAAATCTGAAAAATGAGCAAATTTAAGATCCTGTTGTGAATTTTGTATGTATCTCTTAGAATGATAAACTGTGTATATTTTGATGAAGAACAATACCTGGCAAACAAGTGAACTACTTCTTAGTAATAGTAATTTTGAAAACAAAGCTGCGGAATAAAAATTCCATATTTAATGTAAAACGGATAAATACAATCTGGCTATATCGAGAGTTTTAGACATTTTTAAAAATCAAAATGATATATGAAGTATTAGGTTCATGAAGTTAGCAGAAATACAGTCAGGTATGAATAAGATTAAAGATTATGATTGAAGTAATTAATAAAGATAAAGAATATGATATTTTGATGGAATTAACTGTGAAATTTTTTATGTAAATACATATTTTTATTAAAATAATCCAATGTCTAATAAGAGGCCCAAAGGGCCTTAACGGTCACCTGAGTATAGTACAACAATTTAGAGTATCCATAGAGTATATAAAATAAACTGATAGATGAAGCTTTGTTGCCCAAAAGCAAGAGAAATAGGATGATCAGGACCAAGGAAATAATTAGTCTAGTATTCAGTAATAGCTCATGAATTAAATTCTAATCTATCCCCCATTTATCACTATCACCATGCAGACTATTAACAAACTATTAGTTCTTCTGTACTACTTTTAACCCCATATTGTGACCTCTCACATTGGCCTCTCTTGGTCTTTTAAGAAAATTTAATGAGATAAGTTATTTTTGTCTCATTTTTATTTATTTATTATTTACAAGCCTACCTGATCATTAAAACTATGAAAGTACTTATTGCATTATACATTTATAAATTTTTTTTTGCATAATTCTGTGTAGTAGTTCTGTGTCAGCTTTCTCCAGCTCCATGTTCTGAGTCTGTAGGTTGGCATTTTGTTTCTTTATCTCTGCTATTTCCCTAAGATTCTTTTTCTGTGACTTATTATTTTCCTTCTCCTCGGCCTCTTTACGTTTTTATAGCTGTTGAGTTTTCTCCTTTAGTGCCTCATCACGGGTCTTTACACCGAACGTGTAATCTTTTTCCCTCCTTTCCACGGAGTCCTGTGAGGTTTGCAGCTGATTTTCCAAGCTCTGTACTTTGATCTTTAGATCGCTTATTTCCCTTTGAGCGTAATCACATCGTGATTGAAGACTGCTGTTTTTAGCTTTGTGATGCTCCGAGTCATAGCTGGCTGTTTTGAGTATGTCAACTTGACCCCTTAATCCCTGATTCTCTGTCTGCAAAAGTCCGGTTTCGTACGCCAGTTTATTTTTCTGTTCCATCATCTTCACATTCTCTACACGAGTCTGAAATTCTCTTTGTTGGTCGAATTGTGACACTTTCTCTAGCAGGGTGACATTCTCCTGCTCCAAACGCATTCCTCCTTTGTGTCTGAGTCTTCAACTCTGATTTTAGCTTTTGTATCTCGTTAGTCAACGTGTTACGTTCTTTCTGCACGGAGTCCACGGTTCAACTTAACGGAGCGATAGGCCTAGCAGTATTCAGTAAAACACTTGTAGGTTGATGTTCAAAGTTCAGTACTGTGGTTTCTGGTTTATTGCTCGTTTCTGATGTTGACACTTTTTGATTTGATGGGCTCGTCTCTGTCCCTCGTTAGTTTCATGTCGCATATACTTGTGTGGTGTTTCTTCTGACACTTTTCACACCTGTTGCGGGATTTACATTCTGAGGCGCGGTGGTTTCCCAAGCAGTTGAAACATAATTTCTTCCGTCTTAAGATATCGAATCTTGCACTTACGTCCGTGACTTTCTTACAATCCCCTGGAAAATGATTTTCTGTGCAACAATAAATGCATGACCGGCTCTTAATCTCTTTTGTAGTGAAATGTTGTCACCATCGTACTCACATGCAATGTTTTTCCTAATTTCAGCTGGTAGCTTGTTGATTATGACTGGAATAAGTAAAGCTCCATACATCTTCTGTCTTTGCCCTAGACACTCTAAGCTCCTGACATGAGATTCCAAGAAGTCTCCATAATTTCTTAAACAATGGCGTCATTTCTGGGAACAGGAAGTTCCATGAGTGCTCTCATATGAGCGTTAATAATTTTCTGTGGGTGACCAATCCGTTCTTTGAGCAGATCTACGGCTGTTTCGTAATTGGCATTTGTAAGAGCAAATTCTGCTATGGTTTGTGCTGCTGCGTCGCGTAATTGAGCTTTGAGATAGCTAAACTTTTGAATTGGTGTCAAAGTATAGTTGCAATGATTCGTTGATTCGTAGGAATCCCAAAATGTATTCCATTCTAATACATCCCCGTAAAATGCGGAAGATCTAACTTTGGTAATCGGTGATTATTCGTGGCGTGTTGGGATGGTAATAACAAAACATTTTCCTGGCTACTTTGTGCATTGAGATCAGAGGCAGGGAAATTGTTCAAAATATTCTCACAAACCGTTTCACTTGAGTTAATCGTAGCTGACGTGTTAACGTTATTATCATGAATTTCTGTGGCGGATGTAAAACACTCAGCATTGGCGTTCAAAGTTTTACATGGATTTTTTTCTGTAAATTTTTCAGTTTGCCTAGTTAATCAATCTAATTCATACATGTACTCATCTGTATTTGCGATTTCTGTTTCGATGTCCTCTTCAGATAAGGCCTCCAAAATACGGTCGTCCAATTCTTGTAGAGTTTGCCTTTTCAGTGCGAGAGACTTTCTAATTATGTTGATTTCCTCGGTAATTTCTTCACTGGATTTTCCTTCAAGTCCAAAAACCGCCCGTAACTGCTGATCTGTTGCCGGCTCATAAAGCTTTTAGTCTTCCTTCCATTGTATGTACTACGTAGAATTCCGTCGGTCACGGCACCAAAATGTTGTGGAATGAAATAAAAGACGTCTTAATCGAAAAGTGGTTTATTTGAGACTTGTTATTATCTATAGAAACGTAACGTAAGGTATTATGACGTCACAACAAAGTTAACGTTACATAAACTCGTGAATAATCCATAACACTGTTTGCCTTCGATATGCCAAGGAGCAGAGAAAATTTTAAAAGAAATAATGCATTTTCACTACAGATTCAATACAGCCCTACCCTAACATAAAACCCATGTCCCAGGGTCATGAAATTCACAAATTTGGTAGAGGTACCCTCATCATCATAACTATGCACTTAGTTGAAGATTTTCAAAGAATTAACACATTTTCACTATATTATCAATATAGCAACCCCCCTCCCACCGAAACCAGCTGGGACCACAAGTTTTAAAAAAAAATTGTAAGAAGCACAATTGTTCGTCATAACTATGCACTTTGTTTATCTGCTCAACACTAAGGATCAGACAGGATTATTTAACAGAAATAATTCATTTTCACTATATTATCAATAGAGCCCCACCCTTACAAAAGGGCATCTGACCTAGGGGCCACGAAACTCATAATTCTGGAAGAAACACTCTTGTTCATCATAACTATACACTTAGTTTCTTAGCTTTATAACAAGGAGTAGAAAAGAATATTTTCAAAGAAATTATGCTCTTTCACTATATAATCAATAGAGCCCCCCCCCCCCCCCCCCCCCCGGGCCATGAATTTCACAATTTTGAAAATGGCATCATTGCTTATCATAACCAAACACTTAGTTTGTTTAAATAATACCCAGGAGCAAAGAGGAAAATTTTCAAAGAATTAATGCATTTTTACTATATAATCAATAGAGACCCCCCACGACCAAGGGGCCATGAAATTCACAATTTTGGAAAAGGCATCATTGCTTAACAACCATCCACTTAGTTTGTTTAAATAATACCCAGGAGCAGAGAAGAAGATTTTCAAAGAATTAATGCATTTTCACTATATAATCAATAGAGCCCTGC